GAAGAGAGACCGAGGGAGGGAGGGAGGGGGGGAGGGAGGACGTGGGCGCCGCTCTGCCCTCCTGTTCACTCTGGGTGAAATTGGGGCGGTGGGGGGTGTAGGTGGAAGAAGCCAGGCAAGTTTGGGCGGTCCCAGGAAAAGCAAGCTTTGAAGAAGGATGCTGCGGGTTTCAGGGCGGATGCTCAGAGGGTGGGAAAACCCCTAAAACAGCCAGAAATACGGGTTATTCATAAGGGAGGAGGGTGGGAATGAGTTTGGTGTGATGGTTAAGGGGCTGGGCTAGGAATGGGGGGAAATGTGGTTTCTGGTCCTCCCTTAGGCAGGAAGACTGGCTGATTTGGGGCCTGTCGCTCTTTCTCAGCCCAACCCACCTCACAGGGTTGTTGTGATGGGGAGAATAGGAGGGAGCATTACGCATGACACCCGGCACTGTGCAGAATAAAGGCAGAATGTAAATGTAATGAATAAAGATATGTGTGTGTAATGAAGGAACCCGTATACGCTGCAAATTTTTTTTATTGTAGGTCCCATATTATACTTCGACTCTCTCCCATCCCTGCACCGCCCTTCTCTATCCCAGATATTCAGCCCATAATCCGTAGTTGAATTAGAAGGATTTCTTTTTTTAAAAAAGCCACCTCTATGTTTGGAAGAGTTTGCCTTGCTGTATTTCCATCTTGGACAGCTGGGAGGAAAAAAGAAACATAGACTGTAAGTCAGCAACGGCGCAACTCCAGAATTGCGTAAAGTCATTTTTCTGGATTTGCACAGGGCATTAAGCAAACCGAACAGGGCAGGTTCACACAGCCTCCTAAGGCAGACCCAGAGAAACGTCATCCAGGTTGAAACCAAGTTGAGCCCATGGTACGAATGCAGGGGGTATCCATTAAACTGGCCAGGGGAAGTCTCAGGCCAGCTGGTGGGGGGGTTAGCTTCAAGCTGTAAATTGTGTCTGTCAGCCCTTCAAGGTAGGCTAGGTCAGGAAACACACCACTGGAAGTACTAGTCATGGATCTAGGTCTCAACCTCAGTAACTTTAAGATGTGTGGACTTAACTTTAAGATGTGTGGACTTCAACTCCCAGAATTCCCCAGCCAGGATTCCCAGAATTCCCCAGCCAGTCAGTAACTTTAAGATGTGTGGAGTTAACTTTAAGATGTGTGGACTTCAACTCCCAGAATTCCCCAGCCAGGATTCCCAGAATTCCCCAGCCAGTCAGTAACTTTAAGATGTGTGGAGTTAACTTTAAGATGTGTGGACTTCAACTCCCAGAATTCCCCAGCCAGGATTCCCAGAATTCCCCAGCCAG